TCTTTCCCTTCAGTTTTTCTCTCTCTAAATTTATATATATATATATATGTTTGACCACAGCTCTACTATTTGCATTCTTATCTAAGGCCGAATATCACTAAAGAACAGCCAACTATTATCCCTGTTGAGAAGATGCAACCAGATCCTCTTCCCAACACCACAGTTCCTGAGGAAGAACAACATATTACAGCTACAGATCCAGTTGTGCTCATACCATCCACTGTTATTGAAGAAGACTCACTTACATGCCAAGACACATGAGAGTGTTCATTTGATCCAATAACAAAATATCCGGTACAACATGTAGTTGTTTCTAATGTTCAACAATCTGCACATCTCCAACACACATTAGACCAAGGTCAGGTTAGTCAATCTTCGGAAGAAGAATAACAGGTCTATTCCAGGAGGAAGAAGAAGAATGGAGACCGACTCCAACTCGGGAACATATTGGATAATACATTGGTTACTACTGGCAATGACAATCATCTTACCAACTTATTAGCTTGCTCCTTTCTTAGAACCAGAGGCAGAGGCAAAACCAAATTGGATTGCTCTCTAGCCACCTGATACTATGTATTTCAGCATTCCTAGAATTTTTCTTTGTCTCTAATGTAATTTTCAGTATTTTCTAGTTTTGGAACCCCTTCTAGTTTTGGTGTGGGTAGGAGTTTTGGTGTGTGGGTAGGGGGTCATGTTTGGGCCCTCTAACACATTGTATCTGTATCTTTCTTTCTAGTTAATATATTAGCCTTTTTGGGTTTCAAAAATATATATACATATATATATTAAAGATTTTTAAAAAAATTGTGTATTTTCACTTTGTCGTCACATCTCATGCAAAGGTAGAAAATGCAGGAAACCCTTAGTACCCATTCAAAATGCTCAACTCAACGGAAAAAAATTTCTAAATAGTACCAGTTCATATTGTTTCAATGCAGTGAGGAAAGTTGTTAGATAAGGACTCATCCGAGTTGCACCAACTCAGCGAAGAAATTTGTGTTCGTATCAATTCATGCATGTTAATTGAAGTTTCATGTGCACATTATAGGTGGGTGAGCTAAAAGAATTTTATGGCAGTGATGTCGCACGATGATGTGAATCAAATTCGTGATATTTTCCTGCATAAATTCCATAATTTATTTCCTTACTATGATGATTTATGCTTGTCGAAGGTGTTTTTGCCATGTTTTGATGATTGCAAGTATTCAAAGCACTTTGGGGAGCAAAAAATATGCTCTAGTTAAGGGTCAAACAACAATAATAGGCATTGATATGCTCTAGTTTGGCCGAGAGCTATGAAGAGGGGTTTAGAATCGTTGTAAGGCTTTGGTTGTTGGTTATTGGTTATTGGTATTAAGATATATTTAGGATGTGGATGAGGAGTGGTGAAAATTTTAAAGTGCTATAGAGGGATAATAAAAAATTAAAAAAAAAACAAATATAAATATCTAATGTCACGAAAGAAAATGCAACATTTGAAGCTACAATTAACAAGCAACAAGCAACAAAAGAGAAAATTCTCGCTAAAATATTTTATTCAACAACTGACTCGAGTCATTACATATCAGTCATATTTATGAGATTACAATGACAAGAAATCAAAAATAGAAGAAAATTTTGAAACGAGGTGATCATTAATAAAGTTACTAACCACCTTTCTAGTTTCTTATTTTTTATGACAAGTCATAAAAACCTACAAATTTGAAAATTCAAACTTTCTACAAAGTGATATTGAAATATAAATAATAAAATAAAAAAATTCAAATATTTCTTTATGAAGGGCTCCTGTGATGGGCCTTGAATGAGCTCTTACTTGGGCACTTTCCTTGGCTTTTACTTGGGCTCTTGTGAGTGGATCTTTGGCTTCCTTTAGATGATGTACTACATCACCAATGTGTTAAATGCTCAATCCCAATGCCCGAGAATACATGGGTCAAATATAAGTTTGAGTATTGTCTTAGATCTTCTTAAAAGGCGTGCAAATTTTCTAAATTTAACTCAAACCAACAAATTAAAATATCTGCATGTGCTCCAATGATAACCCTAAGTTCCCTGAATTTAAACGTCTGAAAATGTTGTGCAAATTAATTGCATGCTTAAGTTAAAATTAAATCTATCTTGAGAAATGTGTATGCATATCAAAGCTTTGTAACAAATTAATTTTCAAATATCAAATTTAATTTAGATCTATGTAATTATGCATGCTCTTGAATGAGCCACTTTGCCTATAAGACAATGTTGTTAGTTCTACTTTGGGCAGTATGATCCTCCTCCTTACAGAGACTGAAGTTGATAGGACTGAGCCTCTAGTCCAATCCTCCTTCTAGTAAGGATTGAAGTTGATAGGACTAAACACCTTTTTGAATACTCGAGTAACTAAATTGAATCAAATCATAACAAAGCATTTCAAAAATAAAATATGATCCTTGTTGATGGGCATATTCATTGCACATCTCAACTGAAAGAAATTTGTTCATAATATAAAGTTATTAATGCTTAAAATCCAAAAATATTCAAGATAATCTATTACTTAACGCTTAAATAAATAAATTCACCCTCCACAACACTTTATCGAGATGGGCAAATTTAATATTAACTCAGTCGCACAAAGAGCCAATATCATATCAAATATATTATCAAATTCAAACTCAAAACTATCATGTGCCAGTAAGAATGTGACCCTAGTTTTCTATCCACGTGATTTGACCAGTAAGCTCCACAAAAGAAGTGATTAAGACAAGAGCATTCTGACTGGGTGGTTTGACTAATGGGCTCCATCAAGTGGTTTAGCCAAGAGACTCCAATGTAAAATGGTTAAGGCTATAGCATGTATGTTCTCTAATGGCATTTTATCATTTTGAGTCATGAATCATTGGGTATACTTCAGAGAGCAATAAGCCATCTACAAGCTAAGGTCAAATTACATTAGTCTCCTTAGACAAACAATCACCCAAGGTCTACAAGCTTCCCTTGGACGAAGTAAACCAAGACTGATAGAAATAATCCTTCTGTCGAGTTGGGTTGACTATCTTTGTTGACTAAATAGGCGAGGGACCATGACATCTCATGATGACAAAATCATGGGATCTTGATCGGGTGCACCATCAATTTCCCCACCATCCGGTTTAAGATCACGGTGATAATTTTATAATTTTAAATTTTAAATTTTATACTACTATATGTTAAACTTGAAAACTTAATGCCTAATGATAAGCCTTAATAGAAAGTGGTCTTCCATTATTGGAAGGGATAATTAACCATAAGGACTTGCACCTATAGTAAATCTCGAACCCCAAATATTAAAGACCTCATAAAATGAGAGTAAAATTTCTAGATAGTGGCTTATCTATTATCTAATCTGCCGTCTAAAAAATTTGATCCAAAGTTCACGATAAACTCTCACTCATACTCATTTCATTTTGAGAGAGGTCGGGGTATTTCAAATTTTTGAGAGTACAAAGTCACTATGAAGCTTTCTAATCCTTTATTTTTTGCCTAATTTTGTCATAAAGCTTTGCAATCAAATCATACCCTTACTAGTCTTACTGATAGAAATGTACTCAGCATCTGTAGTTGAAAGTGCAACAATCTTCCGTAGCCTGTAAATTCAACTCATTGTTGTGTTTCCCAATGTTAAGAAATACACTATTGTACTTCTTCCATCAATATCCCCTGTCAAATATGAATCTATAAATCTCTATAGATTAATTCTTCCACTTCCTATACAAAGTCATGTTGACTATTCCTCTAAAGTATCTGAAATCCCGTACTCCATCTCCAAAACATAATTTCCTAAATTACCCAAGTATCTGCTGATCACTCTCACTATCTGTGCAATATATGATCTTGTACATATCATCATATATATCAAACTTCCAACAACTGAAGTACATGGGGTTCTTTTCATCAGCACTTGCTCTGCTTCAAACTTAAGTGATTCTTCCTTAGATAGCTTAAAGTGACCAAGGAGGTGCACAATAATTTTACCTCACTCTTGTTAAATCTATGTAGGACATTCTCAACATATTTTGCCCGAGACAACATCAATGTGCCTGCAATTCTGTCCCTGTTGATTCTCATATTGAGGATCTTCTACCTAGAACTTAAATCGTTCACCTCAAACTCCCTTGATAATTGCTCCTTCAAGTCTCTAATCTTCTCCATATTTTCTCTTACAATCAGCATGTCATCCACATATAATAAAAGTACAACAAGCAATATCTTCACTTTGAGGAACACGGCGGTGGGTTGTATTTTCATACTGCAGAAAAATATTGCACTTTCAACTTCGAAGGTCAAATACATGATTATCGCTAAGGATAACAAGGAGATGATTTGGCTACGGAGCTATATGGCAAAATTGGGCAAGAAGCAGAGAATTGTAAAGCCTCGTAATGATAGTATGAGTGCAATTTATCTTGCTAAGAACATTGTTTTTAATGTCAAGACAAATCACATTCAGCTAAGATATTGCTTTATATGCTCTCGCCAAAAAAAAAAGATAGTTTTTCTTGAAGAAGATACACACAACTCAGAATCACATGAATATGTTGACGAAGGTGGTGACTATCAA